TTTGTGCACGATGCCTAAGGAGGTGGTGAGCTCTCTGCGTCAAGATTTCTCTGCTGCTATTTTAGCATCTTGTGCAGAGTACTCCCACCTCCTTTTGCCTTCCAGGTGCTATTGTACAAACCTACAATGTGGTGAGAGCTGTGGTATCTTCTTGTTCTTACTCAGGGCACTGCACTTAGCTGGGGCTTACCCACTTTGGGACCGACTGCAGGCAAACTGTCAATAGCTTAGCTTGCATCTCTGTCTGCAATAACAGGGGCTCTGAAATGCTTAACAGTCAGAAATCACTCTTTTATGATCTCTGAGGGTCCCTTTCAAATCCTGCAATTCTGCAATCACAGCTACTGTACTTCACTAAGCTTATTTTCCTGTGCCCAACTCGACTTCTCGTGTTGCAGTGGGAGGTGTGATGTTTGGGGCTTTGATAATCATCTGCCTCCAAATTGTTGGCACACTGAACTGAAAGTGTTTTGTTTGAACCTTCCAGCTCGTCATGCTTCTTTGTGGTTGCGGCTTTTTTTAGCACTGCAAACTGAAATTTTCCTGCAGCTGGGTTTTGAGTTAAAATATTGTGAAATACAGGATTTCACTCTTTTCCACCCACACAGTGTCTTACTTGAGTATGATGCAGTGTTCCTCTTACCAAAACAAGACTGGTTGTAACCTCATTCTGAGGATGCTTAAGCTTCAGCACCAGCTCTAAGTACAGTCTCTGATAGAAGAATTACACATATCCCAAGTAATGTTGCTAAGAAGCAACCATCACAGACTCTGTATGTTCACAGAAACACAGGTGATAGAATTGTTTGAGTTGGAAAGGACGCGTAAAGGCCATCTAATCCAACTCCCTGCAGTGCACAGGGACACCTAACTGCTCCATGAGGTGCTCAAAGCCCTGTCCAGGCTGACCTTAAATGTTTCCAAGGATGAGGCATCTTGGTAAAGAAGGTCATTTAAAAATAGCCTTTGGTAATGTTAGTCCTCTTTTCCAGGTCTCTTTTGCATTAAAAAAAAAATAATAAAATCTTTAAGTAATGTTTCTTCTCTTGGGAAAGCACTGCTTGAAGAGTGAGTTTCTAGTGGCACATTGTCATGGCTACAAAAACTGGAATCAAAGCTTCAAAGCTGGGAGCAATCTTTGATGTAACGCTAGCTGTTTCATTAACTGCAGTCGGGATTAAATCTAGGTAGTTGGCAGAGGAAGAGTGGATGGCAAATGATGGATATGTAAAGATCTCAGCCCTCAGTGCTCTTGATCCTTTTCCCTCATGCAGAAGATGTATGAAGGATGGCTTTCAGGAAAGCCCAGTTACTTGTGGGACCCAGAGTGGCAATGGACACACATATTCCTACACTACTGTTTTTTTTCTTTTCAATTTGCAGCTCTGAAAAGTGGAACAAAACTGTCAGTGTTTTCTCTGCACTAACAGCATCTAGCTATTTGCTTCTCTGAAGCTGTAGTAAACTGCTGTAAAAATATGTGTTACGTATGCCTCGTGAATTAATTGAGCTTATGGGCAGTATATACCTGAGGCTGCAAATTCCATTTTCTTTTAAAACTGATCTTTGCTTTAAAGTCTTGCTTGTTTGCATCTTCATTTTGAAGTAAAATTCTGAGAGCAACCAACGCAGCTCCGAGCATAGAAGATTATTAAATGTAGGTTTAGCAGCTATGGTTTATGTTTGGATAAAAAGGTGGATGTTGTCCATCAGGTACTTAATCGAGCCCTGCTTTGGAGCAGGGAATTCCAGACTTTGTGGGGTTGTATTTCAGCTGTTCCAAAGCCCTCAAAGATACAAAGCAGTTTGACAAGGAGTAGAATGTAGGTAAACTTGAGGTGCCCAGATTGATTAATTATTTGAAATAAAACAAATGCATAATGAATTTGGAACCACTTCAGAAGTTCTGTCTCTTCTTTGTGTTCTTGAAAAGTTGACCTGTAGGTACAAGTCCTAGTAAAAATTCATATGGACCCATGCCAAGATGTGTACCAGCAGATTTAATTGTTCTTCGTACTATACTCCCTTACATGCCTGGTTCGAGTGTTAGCAAAGGCTGGTGAAGCTCTGCCATAGATGGAAAGGGGCTCAATAGAGCCCACCCAAGGGTTGAAAGTTTACTATCCAGAAGGGACTTTGGAAATAAGTGTACATCCATATGCACATACAGATGACATTGGTTTTCCTTTGTTACCATACTGAAAGAATGGTTGGAGCACAGGAGCGTGTTTTAAGGGAAATTGGGCTAACAGGAGCACAGATCTCATCTTGCACCTCTGCTGCCATCAGTACAGAGACTCAGTGGAGTCCTCTGTGAAGCATCTTCAGGTTAAGGCTGAAGAAGTGTCACAGCTTGTCCTGTAGCATGACACTGAAGGGAAGAGACTTAAACTCGGCACGGGGAGAAGAATGAATTAATAGTAAGAGGTCTACAATTGTTCCTGTGCCAATAGCAGTAAGTTGTCTTAGGGAGGGAGGAAAGAACGTCTTCCATCTTTGCTACTTATTAAAAAGGGGATAGGAGTGGTCGGGAAGGAATTAGTATGCACGTAACAGTCTGAGGTTTTTAATTGTTTGGGTTCAGAATACTGAGCTGGAACTTGCCTAGTTGATGGACCAAAGCTTAATTTCAGGTGTTGAATGCTTGATCGTAAATATCCACAGCATGTCTGTGTTGACTGCTACAAGTCCATGGGGCCAGGCAGGATACACCGATGGAGCTGGCAGAGCTGATTGCCTCCTGGTGAACCAGAGAGGTCCCTGAAGATGGGAGGTTTGCCAGCGTGACTCCCATCTACAGGAAGGGTCATAAGAAGGATTTGAGAAACTACAGGCCTGTCAGCCTGGCCTTGGAACCAGGGAAGGTTTATGTAACAGAACGTCTTGAGTGAGATCACACAGCGTGTGCAGGACAACCAGGGGATCAGGCTGAGTCAGCATGGGTTCACAAAAGGCAGGTCCTGCCTGACCAACTGATCTTCTGTGATTGAGTGACCCCTCATCTTCTGTGATTTGAGTGACTCCAAAGAGTCTGACTCCTCCTTTCCTGCAGTTCCCCTTTAGATACTGACAGGCATTCTCAGGTCTCCTTACAGCTTTCCCTTCTCCATGCTGCACAGCCCCCAGCTCTCAGCCTGTCCTCGTAGGAGAGGTGTTCCATCCCTTGGGAATGTTCTCAAGTTGCATCAGAGGGATGTCCATTTTGAAAAACTTCTCCCAAAGGGTGACCAGGCACTGGAATGGGCTGCCCAGGGAGATGGTGGAGTCACCGTCCCTGGAGGTGTTCAAGAAACAGTAGATGTTGTGCTAAGGAACGTGGGGAAATACTAGTGGTAAGTGAATGTTTGGACTAGGTGATCCCAGAGGTCATTTCCAACCATTCTATGATGTGTTGGCAGACACCATTGTGTTGCGTGGTTCCATGGATCTAACCAAGCCTCGTCTCCACTGAAGATGCTTTAAGGCAGCCCAGTCATCAGTTTAATTACAGGATTTGTATGCTGTAAGGAATGAACTGGGCACACCTGGGAAGATTGTTCTGATTTTGGTACCATTCCAAAGGCACACAGTGAATCCTACTATCCCCTTCCTTGTGTGCTCATATACCCACTTGGGACCTTAATTCTGATCATACAGTAGAAATCAAAAGAGACTAACAGGAGACTTTGGGCTTCTGTAGTAATTGGACAATTACATGATAACGACCATAATTACAGGAATGTTCTTGCACCCAGTGCTTCATGGTTGTACTAAGAAAGCTGAGATGAGCAAGAGGGATGGCCTTCTCATATTGGTAAGGTGAGCAGGACTTTAATAAC